CAGCAGATCGACACTCCTGCCCAGCTTGGCGTCATCTGCAAATACTTTTTCTTAACTCTCTTTCCGTATAATGTCACTCTCTATCCTACGTGAGGGTGTTGCAAGGTCCAAGTGCCAGCGGCTGGGGCAGAGGCTGCGGTGACTGGCTGAGTAGATCAGGCTGGCAGCACCCAGAGACAGAGTGCCGGGTGGGGCACGGGCTCCCTGCATCGTCCCTGAACCCCATCCGAAGAGTGGGGAGCAGGAGAGATGGAGAAGCAGAAGGGAAAATGGGAAAAACTGCCAGGTACAGGGGCGGGAGCAGGAAGGCAGAGGGTCGGGGGTGCTCCGCTGGCTGGAGGGGACACGACCGATTTGCAGTTGCCGAGCATTAGGTGTGCATGCTTCGGCAGAGAAGAAAGTGCTGTCGTCCATCTGGGTGCCGCTGCTCTCCAGCCAGGAGGTGGGCTTGGCCATTTGCAGACTCCGGACTCATCTGGTGCAAAGCAAATGCAACTGATTCAAGCCCTCATCACTCGCGGGGGAAGCAGGCCTGCTGTGCTTTGCCCTCGTACGGGTTAGCAGTGCTTGCGCTGTTCGTTGGTAAAGCACTTACAGGGCACTGCGCGTTGGAGAACATCAAAATGTTGGAGGCTTTTCCTTCTCTTGGCTTTTGAGACCAAATTAGCTCAGCTGTAACCCCCTTCCCTTGGTCCTGACTTCATTTCCAGTAGCATTTCCAACATCCACTCTTCCTCTCATTTTTTCAGCCTGCAGCGTGTGTCCATAGCCTGGTCTTAAAGGCAGAAATCACCGAGTGAAATTCTCTGAACCCTCTTTTTCCAAAACTGGGCTTTACGCAGCCTAGAAAAGGGAATTTGCTTAAGCTGCTACAGAGCAGAGACCAAAACCCACCTGCCTTACACAGCAGCCCGGTAACTCCAACTTGATTACAAGGTACCTTCCACCTTAAAAATCTCATCGAGGGAGAAGCACACACTGGAGCGCTGCACAGGGAAAAGGCAAACACCGGCTGCCAATGGGGACAGAGGTTGTCAGCTGTGCATCTGCATATCAGCTGCTGGATGGGAATAAAAAGCACATTCCTGCCCCAACCTAGCTCTAGTCCGAGCTCCCAGACGGGCGCAGAGCTCTCATGGCGCTCTGGGTGATTCTCCTCTGTACCTTGATAGCATCGCTGCTCGGTGGGCTCTACCTCCTGGGTGTGTTTCGAAGACGGAGACCCAATGAGCCACCTCTGGACAAAGGTACCATTCCCTGGCTGGGTTATGCACTGGATTTCAGAAAGGACAGTTCAGAGTTTCTAAAAAGGATGCAGAGAAAACATGGGGATATTTTCACGGTGCTGATCGGAGGCTATTATTTCACCTTCGTGATGGAACCCTTCTGCTTTGGAGCCATCGTGAAGGAATCACGATCTAAACTAGACTTTAGGACTTTTGCACGTAAACTGGTCCTGCGGGTTTTTGGCTACAAGCCCATCGAAGCCAACCATAGCATAATTCACGCATCGAGCACAAAGCATCTGATGGGAGACGGTCTCACTGTCATGACACAAGCCACCATGGAGAACTTTCAGAAGCTGATGCTTTTCAATCTGAGCTCAGGAGAGGAGAAGCGAGTGTGGCAAGAGGACAGCCTCTTCCACTACTGCTACAACATCGTCTTCAGAGCCGGGTACCTGGCTCTGTATGGCACTGAGCCACACCAAGGGGCAGGTAACAAGGAGAAAGCTAATGAGCAAGATCGCATCCACTCCAACCAGCTGTTCCACGAGTTTCGGAAGTTCGACTGCCTCTTCCCTCGCCTGGCCTATGCTGTGTTGCCTCCCAAGGACAAAATAGAAGCTGAACGGCTGAAGAGGCTCTTCTGGAGCATGCTGGCCGTGAAGAGGAGCTGGCAGAAGGACAATATCAGTAGATGGATAAGTGATCAAGACAAGCTTCTGGCAGAAAATGGGGTCCCCGAGTACATGCGGGATCGTTTCATGTTTATGCTCCTCTGGGCATCCCAAGGCAATACGGGCCCAACTGCCTTCTGGCTCCTCTTGTACCTGATCAAACATCCAGAAGCTATGAAGGCTGTGCAGGATGAGGTAGATAAAGTCTCAAGGGAGAATGGCCAGGAAGCGAAGCCAGGAAGCCCACCAATTAACATCACCAGGGACATGTTAAACCAGACTCCTCTTCTGGACAGCGCTCTGGAGGAGACCCTGAGGCTGGTTGCAGCCCCAATGCTGGTCAGAGCTGTCCTCCAGGACACCAGCCTTAAGGCGAGCAGCGGGACAGAGTACACTCTCCGCAAAGGAGACAGGGTGGCTCTGTTCCCACACATCTCTGTGCAGATGAACCCAGAAATTCACCCCGAGCCTCACAAATTTAAGTACGACCGCTTCGTAAACCCAGATGGCACCAAGAAAGATTTCTACAAAAATGGGAAGAGGCTGAAATACTTCAACATGCCTTGGGGGGCAGGAGTATCCATCTGCCCCGGGCGGTTCTTCGCTGCAGCTGAAATTAAACTCTTTGTGTTCTTGATGCTGAGTCACTATGAGCTGGAGCTGGTCAACGGAGAAGAGGAGATCCCGGCGATAGACGTCAGCCGCTGGGGATTCGGGACGATGCAGCCTGTTCGTGACGTGCGGTTCAGATATCGGCTACGCTTTTAATTTGGGAAGTCCTTGTTGCATTGTTTGTTCTGGTGTTATCTGTGAAATAAATTGTGTGATCCCATGCACCGTTATCGGATCCATGCGGCACCAACACTGATATGATTTTGTTTACTTAATGGTTATCATAGATTTTCTCTTTACCTCCTTCACATGTATCGCTGCTCTGCGTCTCCAGTTATTGTGGTGTTGGTTTATGTGATAAAAGCTCATCTGCACACCCACAAAGGAGCACAGAGAGACAAATAGTACTCTGGCAGGCTACTCCCAGCCCCATCACGGGGGCCATCAGCCCATCAAAAGCCCATCTGCACAAGCCCAGAGGAGCACAGGGGCATATTGGCATGTGGGAACCCAAATTAAGGACTTCCAAGGAACGACTATTTTGTCCAGGTCCCTCCCAGGACTGTCCCAGCAGAGCCATCAGCCCCATGTCCCAACGTGAGACCCATCGAGATGTGTCATTGGGAGCAGCTCTCTGGATCACCGTCTGGACTAAGGGGGGTTGCTGTCAGGGGAGGGGGGACGTCTTTTGGCGTGCAGGGGAAGAACATTTTGGGATTGCACAGGGCTAATGGTGGGATGTATAGGGAAGGAACCAAAGGTGGGAAAAAGGAGGGATTTAGGTGATTTGGGGAGGAAAATAGAGGGGTAAGGGGATAAAAAGGGCTGGTTGTGTGTAAATATGTGGCTGGTCCATACACTTGTCTGGTCATACCTTGCACCTGGTCAGCACAGTCTGTCCTATTGTCTTATTAAATTCCTTTCCTTAAATTCAAGACCATGGGTCGGAGGGCCCGTGTGTCCGTGGTGCGGCAGCTGGCACTAGCGTGCGAGCGGGTGTGCAAGCAAAGATCAGGCCAGATGAGCTGGCAAGTAAGTGAAGTGGCCTGGGAGCCTGGGGGTGAGCCCGGCTGCACGCCAGCATTGGGACTGCGTTATTTTGTTATCAGCTCCTTACCCACACATTTATTTTCCTCATGAAGTATCGTTGGCAGGATGGCATCAGCGTGTAGTAAACCCCTGAAAGGTCAGAGAACAACAAATATCCTCTCCAAAGACGTAAGAATTTCCTCAGGGTTTTCAAATTGCCTTGTCTATAGTCCCCTTCTTGTATCTGATGAGATCCCCCAAGGGAGCAGAGGTGGGATGTACTGAGCAAGGACATAGCAACAGCTCCTTCCCATTTCACGTTTAAGAAGAGGACAGATCTTACCAATCTCATCTACCATGTCAGTGGGAGGAGAAGGGAATTGCAAACATCACTAATAAGCTACAGCATCATTTTCACGTATCTGTGTGAGTTCATAGAATCATAGAATGGTTTAGGTTGGAAGGGACCTTTAAAGGTCATCTAGTCCAACCCCCCTGCCTTGGGCAGGGACATCTTCCACTAGATCAGGTTGCTCAGAGCCCCGTCCAACCTGACCTGGAATGTTCCCAGGGATGGGGCATCTACCACCTCTCTGGGCAACCTGGGCCAGGGTTTCACCACCCTCATTGTAAAGAATTTCTTCTTTAGATCTAGTCTGAATCTCCCCTCTTCTAGTTTTAAAACCATTTCCCCTTGTCCTGTCGCAACAGGCCCTGCTAAAAAGTCTGTCCCCGTCTTTCTTATAAGCCCCCTTTAAGTACTGAAAGGCCACAATAAGGTCTCCCCGGAGCCTTCTCTTCCCCAACAACCCCAACTCTCTCAGCCTTTCTTCATAGGAGAGGCGTGCCACCCCCCTGATCATTTTCGTGGCCCTAAGTTAGGAATGCATGTGGTCACCTGCCTTTCCAGGGCTGCAGGAGGTTATGAATTCAAGCCCTGTGTCTCGTGTACAGTTTCTGGGGATAAAAAAGGCTGTGTGTGTGCGTGTCTGGATTCATCCCACCGACTGTAACGCAGCTGGAGCGTGGATATGTACAGCCGAGCCAGGATCCCCTGCAGCACCAAACCAGCTCCCTGCTTTAACCCAAATCATTGCACAAGCCCAGAAATTTTGGACTCTGCCTGCTGGCTGGGAACAGGTCTGCCCTCCTGCGAGGGGGTGGCTGTCTGGGGTGCGGTGCCTGAGCCTTGGTGGGGGGTGAGCTCCTAGCTCCTCCACCCGCTCCTCGAGCTCCATGGACTGATGGTGTTCCCAGAAGATGCCTGTTGGAAAGTGCTACCCCCCATTCCAAATTTAGACCTCATCCTCTGCAAAGGCCCAAGGAGACTATAAGGAATGGGATGGGGTGATGGGAAGGGAAAGAAAACCAAAGTGGGGCATGAGAAAACAACCTCAATCCCTTATGGGCTACGGCTATTACGACCTTATGAGCCCCCGAACATCTCTGTTTTATCCACTGGATCCAATGCAGGATAAAACTTTGCTCTACAAGCTCTGCTTTGCTTTTTTTTTCCTTCAATAATTAGGGCTCTGACAACATCAGTCCTTACAGAAGTTAAATCACAGCTTTACCTGTGCAGAGGACAACGGATTGATTTTAACGCTGATGCTAACCTTGGACTTTGGAGATTATGTATGACCAAAGAATGAAACTCAAACATTTTCACGGGTGTCCAAACATCAAACCCAGATTCTGCTTTGTTCTGCAAAGGACAGGGTTATGTCGTCTTGACACTGCATGTCAATTAAGCTGGAGCTCTTCCCACGTTCTGGCCAATGGTTTGATCTTTGCAAGCTCCAAACCATGCCCAGGAATACCTTGGGATAGCTGGGCAGGTCAGAAGCCATAGTGACATCCTGGCCAATTGATGTCCTCAGTCCAAGGCTCTAGCAAGAGGATTTTTGGGTGGATGGCTTGCGTGAAGGTTGTTCACTGCTAACGCACAGTGTATTTTTGTTGTTATCACTTGTAGGGACTCCAGGTCAAAGTTGAGGAGTGAGGGACGGGTACTGCACAAACATGGACTGGACTTGGGAAAGGGATATAAAAATAAGGACAATGACAATGATTCAGCAGAAAAATCTGGCTTTACTTCCTTGTCAGAATGGTTTATTTAACCAAAGAGTATTGTGTCTATAAAAGACTTCAGACATGCTCAAATGCATGCAGTTGTGAGAAGCAAAAAAAAAAAAAAAAATCACTTATTTTGAGTCATATATGGAAGAGTGTGAAAGCTCCAAATGAGTTAATCTGCAATTAAGTTTTATGCTTAGATGGGTTGTCCCCTGGCACTGAGCTTTCCATCCCAAAGTGTACCAGCAAGAGTAAAGAACTAGCCTGTGCCAACGGAAACCTTATTGGGTTTGTAAAAGAAGTTAAATTGGAAGGAATCCAGGGTCTTGAAAAGTTTATTGGGGGGCAGACCTCATGGCAGTCTGTCTTGTATAACTCTTCTCTCCCCCAAGAGAACTGAGTGTGCACTCTGGCCCTAAAATCTTGGTTTTCTCTTCTGTAGTGCGTAGCAAAGACAATATTACTTTGACATTCAAAGCTTTACAGTCTATTGAGTCAGTGTCTGCTCTCCGCAGCACAGTGAAAGCTCCTCCGCTCTCAGTGACCATTCCTACTCTGCACACCGTGCAAGGGACGGAGTCATGATGCTGCACGCTTCGGATTTGGAACAATATGGGTTAAACGTGTTGGAAAAGACCACCCCTGGTTAAACAGCATCACTTCTAGTATTAAACTGTAATGCATTAGGGACTGTTTTCCCGTCCTCGTTCCTCTAAACACAGCCAGATACGGCTCTGAGAAAGCCTCCACTTACTGCTGCTTGTAAGGAAAACCAAAGAAACTCAACGGCACCAGTAGATCATCACTTCATCACATCATTCACTTCAGAGAAACTCAGAGGAACACTGAGGTTATAAGTACAAAGCAATGACACAGCTAACACCATCTGTTGCAAAGGAAAGCAGATTTTGAAGGAGAAAGAGGAACATGAAAGTTCAGGATTTTTTTGAAGAATTGAAACACGCAGCATTTGCCGGTGACACTGCTGCCATGTCTCCTGGGAGATGCACTCCCCAAAGAAGAACAGCCAGGCTTCAAAGTGGCAAAGTCTCCCAGTGGTACGACATCTGCATGTAACGAGGTCATGGTCACTATTGTGTTTGCTGCCTTTACTGTCTGGTGGCCAAGTTATTCCCAGCAAGTCACAGCCTATGCCGAAATACCCAGTGGCAGGCAGGATGCACTGATCCAAACACAATGAAGCCAGGCAAGATAGGGGAGCGTTTTTGATGGGGAGCAAAGCAAGGCTGCAATGAACCACTCACACCACGGCCCGATAGCCTTGGATGTGCTCAGAAAAGGCTTTCTGCACAAGCCCATTTTAGCCCTGCTTGCGAGGAAAGCCGTACAACTAAATGCTCCACGTGCTGGCATCCTGGCTGTGGGGAACATTTTTCCCAGAGATGCCCGTACACCAAGTCACAGCTTGGTTTCTTCAAGAGTTGTTTCTATATGTTTGTTCTTTAACACGTTTTTAAGACAATTGATGCAGCTGCAGTCAGGCAGGTGAGGGGTTACTGTAAGATCCTATGCGATGGGTAAGTGTGTCATCTAGGTCTAATGGAAGACTTCAAATACATGCCCCAAAACCCGAGTTTTGCAGTGTTTTCAAACCTTGAAACCTTTGAGGAGCTCGGTCAGCTCTGCAGACACAACAATGCAGGTGCCCATGGAGAGCTGGTGACCTTTCATGGAGCCACACAGCTCATTAAGCAGCAGGCTGGGCTCTAAGAGAGCAGGAGCCAGGCCAGCTTGGGCCCCAGGGAGAACAGTAGCTCTTCTCAAAGCCAAGCAAGCTATGGCCTCTTGCAGGAGTAGGATGAGGAAGATGTGCAATTTATCAGTTACTGGAAAGTCCCATTGCTGTTCCCCTTCCTGTTCATACCTTGTGCTACAGGGTCAAGCTACAAGGCTGCTTTCACAGAGACTGGTTCTTCTTGTTTCTTGTGACTTGAGCAGGAAAGAGTTTCCTCACAGAGTATGAAAAGCCCTGGTTAAAACCTCCTCGGTGGTACCACTGTCACACATGTAACACGTATACCTCCTCCCTT